GCGCGCACTTAACGAATCGTTCCGGATTCGAACCCATGACCTTAACCTTGCATGTCAGTGAGTTATGTCACTAAGCCATGGGTCACCTGTCGCTCAGCAATTATCAGAGCGCTTTACTCGCATAGTTCGGGTCGAGTGAGGGCTTACGGCAAGCTGTCGCCGCCCTTCTATATCTCCAGCGGTGTGAGGCAAGGTTACCCGTTGTCACCTATGCTTCTTGGCTCCTCTATCGACAAAGTCATGGGAATTGTGTTCACTAGACACGACCTATTCCTGGGTGATGGAATTACTGACTTGGAGTATGTCGACCACATTGCTGTTATCTTTTACAGCGTTCAAACGTGTCAAATAGCATTGGACAAATTAGCATTTACTGTCGGCCGTTTCGGATTATGCTTTACACCCTCGAATTACGTCATCCTCAACGGGTTGTCAGGGACCCGTCCCTGCGCTGACCGGTTTTGGTGATCGCCTAGGAGTCGTAGAGAAAAACAAGTATCTAAGCAGCTATAGTATCTAGTGAAATGGAAGATAAGATCGAAAACCGCATACCAGAAGCTCAATGTGATTTTGCCAGTCCCCGCCAACTGTGGCGCTGACGGGACATCACTCATGCCATGAAGGCAGAGTTTGTAACGCAGTCGTCTGTTCAACACTCTTGTGCGGCTGCGAAACCTGGCCCATTAGGCAACCAGACATAAAGAGGCTAGCTACCTTCGATCATCACTGCCTTCGCAGTCTAGCTCATGTCTGGTGGGAGCACCTCATGAGCAATGAGCGTGTTCGGCATATTTGGTGCAGGAAGAGCGAGTGAAGCGCTCACCACCGTTATGGCACGCAACAGGCTCCGATAACCTTGGTACATGTTGCGCATCCCGACTCTCGGGAAGTGCGTTGTTTGTACGCCCGGGGACTGAATGGAAGAGGAGCGGAGGCCAAGCGATGACTTGATCAAGAGGAATGAAAGGCATTATTCCTAAAAGCCACCAGTTGGTGTCTCCCGGCCGCCAGGCTGGGATACGAAGGACACTGAGCATGTCTAGTTGGAAATATTAGTTGACCTGGTAAGGAGCCAACCTAAATGGCATTTGTGTTGTGATTCTAGTTGTCCCTTCCCATTCCACTTAGCTTCCTCCTCAAAGCCCGATCTCCCCTCGTAGTATAATATGTTACTAAGCAGCTTGTCGACTGCTTTTTGCACTCTATAATGTCTAGCATCTTGCTTTCTTGTGTATCTTATTTTTATGCACTACGGCACAATAGTTAAAGTGTTTCTCACCTTCGGCTTAGGTGTAATGATGATGATTCCTACTGCTGGGAGAGTGCAATTAAAGTCTTAACTGAGGGGACGGAACCACACTTCACGCAGGACCACAATGAAGCTATCCTGCTAGTAAGCAGCCTACATTCGCCTGGCTTGATTATCTAGCATTCGGCATGGAAATAGGTGGAGCAGTTAGAACCTAAAACTCATGTTCTGATTATCCTATTACATGTTTCACACGCGCCTTTAGGCACAGTCGGTCGGGCATTCCCGCTCATCACTTGAACTCTAGGTTGACGGTTATGCCTCCCATGGACCCTAGATTGATTGTTTCGTCGAAAATGTCAGTGCAGCGAGACAGGTGGCGGTCTCACTGTCTCTCCTTGCGGTCGCGCATATATTGCCGATCGGTCGCCACGCGGTTTTTGCGCACACCTCCACGCGAAGAGGTGGCGTGTAATGATCGGCTTGCGTAACACGTCGTGGTCAGATGGACACTGGCAAATACTAGCTTCACATCGATGTTTAGTGGATGTGCGATGGAATATGTCCCACAGCTTTGTTTTGCTGCAGCGTGCAGAGAGGGTGGCAGGATCGTCTGAAACTCCTCAGTTTCTCCATTTGAATGAGAGCAAAATTATTCCCCAACAGCTCATGAATGCCGTGGTTGCACGATTGGACGAATGCATTCACGTTGCGCATTAATCAGATAGTCCGGGGAAGAAAAGTGCCGAGCCTGTTTGAGTAAGCGCTCACATGTCGTATGTACATTACCCTGTCTTTATTCGCTGACGCTGAACTGTTGTAGATTTTGCATTACCTAGTGACATACCCCATCTTGGTTGCATTAGAGCAATTACTGACTGCCATATATCTGAGTGATTCGCCATATCTTAATGCCATTGGCGTAAAAGTGAAGCGATAAGCTGCACCGGGTCATTAATGAATATAAAAAACATGGGTCCAGCACTGAGATTTGCGGTCATCATCATCATAATTCTAAACATTAGGTAGGATGTAAGCGACATCACAGCCATCGAGCCGCAACGAAACTCAGCTAAATATTCTAAGGAATATAAGCAAAAGAGATGACATTAGTTTGATTTTATCACGCATCGAGTTTGATGTCGTGTTTGTGAAGGAGGCTAAGATAGGTGGGACACAAAAGCTCACAACACAAACCCATCGTGGTCGACTCTTGCCTGTGTCAACAAGTAACTCAACCAAACTTGTTTACCATCTCTCAGACCCAAGCATGTAGTCGGAAGACACCAGCAAACGCGAAGCTTTACGTTAGAGCCTTTATTCCTCTTGACTAAGTAATAAGTTGGTACCTCACCCTCTCTTTATGATCACGTTTAGGTCAAGCAAACAACGCGCTTTGCGATAGTCAGTGTGCTGTCTTGTGCAAAATATGGGCCCGTCACCCGAGACTTGTGTGAGCTTATAAGCTAAATGGTTCACGTATCTTCCTGTACCACAAATACAACGGCGAACACACCCATTACTCATGCGGTGTTATCACAATGGATTGTGAAGACATCAGTGGTCGTAGGAAATACGACACAGTCCGATCTCACATCAGCAACGAAAAGAGATCCGAAGGAGAGTTGCAAACAGATATCTCTTTTCGTTAATCCTCATTATGCATTTACATTCATGAGAATGATTAAGAAAACTGGGAAGATAACTAGAGATGGAGTGACAGTGGTTACATTACAGATTAAAATAGGATCAGTGAAGCCGATTGATAATTCTGTCAATGAAGTCAGGTGGTAGAAGTTACAACACCACGTCACGCGAAGTAAGAACGCAAAAGCCCGATGGGGAACAATACTCAAACGATCGTTCCACAATAGGGAACGTATCCAGCACGTCGGGAAATATACCCATTAATATATCTATTTAGGTAGTTAGGCCGAGTTTCTGTGATGTAACCATTATCACCCCAGCTCTATTTAGGTTCTTCGTTTTCATCCTCTTCTTCGTAAAAGTGAATGTTCGACGAGAATTATCGAAAAGAGAAATCTTTTCGCTGGCTAACCGAACAACCTCGTGGTGCCAGCTGGGTGGCTCGGGTTTACCGCGTTCCAGCAAATAGTTCTGCGGCAGTGTTCCAAGACGTGGTGGATTTTCTCCTGACAAGTGTTCTCCCTATAAGAAGCCACATATGTCTGTTTAACAACACTGTGACGTGGCGGCCGACAGTCGCCACAAAATAAAGGTACTACTCTGTGGATATCCGGATAATCCTTTAAAACCCACGGACAACAATTTTCTACTCGCACATTGCCGACGATATCAAACATACAAGAATGGAGCAGCAAGATTACAAGCGCAAACTGGTCGGTCGGCGACATCCGGTTTCGGATTTGTCTGTCACTGTGACCAACCACAGGACACCCGCGCCTACAGACGGACCTTGGGTGGCTTGCGCTGCATCACGCACAGCTCCAACCACACACCCCCATATCCAGTGTAAACCCGAAGGAATAAGACCGGGAGGCATGTGGATGGAAGCCAGATTTCATCAACGGAGACGGCCCACACTCCTTCACAGCCAAACACGAGCACGCTGTATTTGGGGAATCAAGCGCACACAAGGCGGTGGTTTGACCGTAGTCCGCTCCACACGGAGTGCATGGAACCGCTCTTCGAGCCTAGCACGGCCACAAGGACCGTGCATCCCGTCCCCTACAGAAACGACCAATTGTCCCATGGAGCCAGTATGAACGAGGTAGTGGATAATAGACAGGTAGGCACCTTGTCAACATGCACATCAAGCGTAGACACACCGGGGATATCAAGCAACTGCCATTCACTTTAAACGACAAGATGAAATAAATCCAATAATGCATACAGATACGATGGCATAACTCTTCCCTAAATTACCATATGAAGTATGTTGGTTAGCATTGAATCCGCGATAAGGTAAAAATGTCCACAATTTACATAAAGATGCTAAGAACGCAACGAAGTTACCGAAGATAACCACAATAAATTTAAGAAATCTTGCCAGTTATTAGAAGATTATTCAGGCAGGCGGAACAAACCAAATAAAGTGGAATGAAATTCAGCCAGCTTAAAAAGACCTAGTTTAAGTGTAAGTTGGTTTAGCCCAACTGCGGTGAAGAAGCATCATGAATGCAACATCAATCACAGCTACATACACGCGCACACACAATTACATAACCCCTACACAATAGTACACAGTTATGGAAAACATTTCGGATTTTTGCACATTCTTGATCACGCATTGTTATGTCAAAATGATCATACCTGTAAAGGCCTGCCTCGCCTTGTGGAGAAGAAAAGCTTTCTTTATTTAGTTAATAACGTCTAATTTGGCACAGTAAATGATTGAAAGAAAAGATTGTCATTCAGGTTATCTACTGGTAGAGCAGCACAGTCGCTTGGAATACCGTCGGAATTTATTTTTCCTGTCATATGCGATCCCACGCTGGCATAGTTCAAAGCCCGAGTGGACCGTGCGCTTATTTCGCTGCATCATCTTATATGACCCAGTACCTACGAATAAACACAAGGGTCTGTAAGAGATTTAACTGGCAGTCAAATCACAGATTCTGTTCCGTTTTTCAATTTCTGTATGTGCACACTAGAAGGAGACACGATTTTTACCAACATCCCATTTGCCGTCATTTCTCATGGATTTACCTTGGATTTACAGTCTATACTACGTATACTTTAGTGAGTTCACTGATGTAAACCCAATTTTGCTAGCAAATTTTTATGTTTTGAAGTTTCACCAAAACCATCCTACGGGACCTGTTAAGCATTAGCTTTTTACCTGTATAAAACCATTGTTCCATTAGAAGCTACTTGCTCGTTTTAAACGCGTTCAACAAATGAGGATTTAGAATGCTATTGCCCAAATAACAAAGATGTATCGATTGCATACACCACAGCGTCAGGATGGAAATCGGAGCAATGTCCACATGCTTCAAATAATTGCAGTGAAATTTTGGTGAGAACATACCAGTTTTTGACGGGACCAAACCGAAGGCATCTGAACATTTGAACGCTGAAAGTCGATCGTTCGAACATTCACAGAGCACGGTGGTTTGGCTCATTTGTTTCCAAAGCGCCGTTACACTGAGATTGTGGTGACACAAATCCCGCTCTGTCTCATCTGTGAACACAACTGTTGGTAGATTTGCACCAACCGAAACTCATAAATCTCAAAGTGTTGCCAAGTGTAATAGATCTCAAGCCGGATTTTATGGACATGGGAATGTGACGACGTGCGTGTGTGAAGACAACTAGGCTTTTCGGTCCGGCTTAAGGTGAGCGGTAGGTGGGTTATAAAGAAATGCGCAAAATAAAGACGTAATTGCAGATTCAAAAAGACACACAGAGGACTGACAAGACAGTAGGTTAATAGAGAACTTTGAATCGCGTGTTCACTTTCTCCTGACTCCACGGAAAAATGAAGATACCTTAACCTTTCTGGCAGAATAGTGAGTAAGTAATGAAGAGCTAATAAAAACCAAAGAAGAAGTGTCAAGGTAACCATACCCGCCAGGAGGAAACAGCGGTCAGAATGCTTCTCGTAAAATGAAACATCACTGCTGATGCGTCGTCCCATGGCAATTTTTTCTCGTGGCGAACTGTGAAGGATCGTTTGTATACAACCTCGAAACTGACGAATCACACGGTTGGTAGATAAAGCCTGAGCCTCTAGCAATATTACCAGTGAGAGACTCGGTAAATGTGTGTTTGTGTTCCTCGGTACGCCTTGTCCACAACTCGGGTATGCTAGTTTCTGTAGGCCCTCGTATAACTGGCAGGCAGTTGCTGGATGACAGATAAAGTTGATGCGGCTGACGGAAAGATGTTTTATAATTCGTAATCCGCACTCACTGGCCTCATTAGCCAACGAGCAACAATCATGCAAAGGAGGATATTGATTGTGCTGAACAAGGAGCTCCTCCAGCGTTTGGGGATTCACAGAGGAATGAAAGAACTGTCTATCCTTGGAAGCACGATACAACCAACCGCGAAGTATGTGAAGAAGGCAAACGTGAAACCAATGACCGATTAGCCAGTTTAAGTAGTACCCAAGCAACCTAGTTTGATTAGGACTACGAAGAATAGAAAGTACAAGAGAACATAACTTGTGACTGGCCTCGGACAGATAGGGACTCGAGAATTCGTCATTATCATCTGCTAATTTCTGAAGGTTACGAAGGGCAGAATCCACTTCTTGTCCCATCAACGTAAGGTTTTCTTCTAACCAAACGAGAAACGCTGGATCCGGCTCAACATGCAAACTGAAAATGCTGTTATGCAGAATAGTATCACGGTATCGCGCTCTTATTCGCCAACTCATTGCGTTCAACTGATTCCGGGCGGGTTGTTTTTTCAGCGACTTATCACTCTGCGATAATGGATTTCTGGGATGAGTGTGGTGAGATTGCTTCATAAATCTCAGAGTTCCGGGTACTGGTTCAGACATTTTTGTGCTTTATTCCACGCTTTAAATTATAAAAACGTAATGCGCCGACAATTCATTCTCTTTGGAACAAGTTGTAGAAAACATGTAGCCTCAATGTTTTGTGCACGGCCGTCCCAAAATTTTGTAGACAGAATACCTGCAGTGCACGCGAAACGCATGCCGCTTCAAGCGGGACGGTCACGTGAAGCGCCATGACCCTGCAAAGATGGAGCTATTTAAACCGATCGATTTCATCACCGACCGTCACTTTGTCCGTGTACACTTAGTGATTTAATTGTATACTCATTCTAAGCATGCCGCGTCGGTATCCATTGCTTGGAACAGAAGATCCCCAAGAAGAGAAGGCTAAAAGACCATTTACAATGCGGGCGGAACAGGAGATCTGGGATTTGGGAGATCCTGTTCAGAAACGAGTAGTGACCAAGGAGAGACACAGTGAATTTGCCATGGGACTAAAGTCGTCGAAATACCCCTTCGTACCCGACCATACGGCTCCCGCCATGGTGCCTAGATTGGCATGGTTGACTGAAATACAGAGCCTGGATTATGCGTTACTACTGCCGGACCTTATAGAGGGACTGACCGACAGAGAGAAGGTGAACTATGATATCGCCATGACAGCCATTACTGATATATTCAAACACGGACCGACGGAGAAGGTAATCGACGCACTACCAACGCTAACGATTGCGGTCAAAAAAGCGTTCGCGATGAGTAAGTCAGTAGACTGAGTGACCAGAGAGCCAGCGCATAAAGTGTCTAAGTAACAGGTACATCAATTAGCTACAGACAACGCAGTCAAGTTAGAGTTTGGGATTTAGGATAGTTGGGGTATTGACCACCATTCGAAGAGCATTCCGGATGAGTGCAAAGTCAAATTTTCTAGGCAGGGTCAAGTAGGCTTTTCAGTGATGATTCGGTCATTTGCCAAACGTCGGTCATACTTCGTGTCACAACAAACGACCGAAGGCATCCAATGTGTCTGTTCTCAGCTTTTAGTTATGTATATTGCTAAGCATCTGAGAGCGAATACGATCCCTGTTGCAGTTAAAAATGTCCAAAGTACTACTTCGAAATTCAGGTTTGCTGATGCTGACGATTACGATACCCGTGGTAGCCATAGAAACACGTGTAAACATTTTAGTATAGATACCTTTTAAAGATTTAAGGACTTTCGCATATGACTCAGGAGAACGAGTATAATGCGTTTCGCGAAGCATAAAGCAGTACCGTCCTGGTTGGTGTTCTGTGGCAGAACCTCACTGGATACAAAAATATTTGTCTTGGGTGAATAGTTTACAAAGTTCAGTTGGTTTGGAGCCGGTAGTCTCACTACAGAGTTGTTTCTTCTTTTATGAAGGTAGCGATTAAACATCGCTGTTTCTGCTAGTCCGCATTTACATTTTCGCCTTTATGGTATGGCCATCCTAAATTTACAGGAGTTATTAATTGAGACAACATTCAGGCACCGTCTCTTATTTCTTTTAACTCGGGAAGGAGGTCATACCGTGTTTGTTGCAAGCTATTATTCGTACAATGGCTACACAAGGACCCGTAATTGATTAGCGCGTTTCAGTTGGATGCACTGCTAGCGATATGGTATCTGTCTGTACGTTAAGTCCGTAGGCACTCAGTGTTCAGTACTCAGTTCATTATGACGTTCCATAGCAAACCCCATGAGTTGGAACAGTTCCTATGTTTCTCAGACTTCTGGATGATCCACCTTGATAACCCTGGTAACTAACTGCAAATTTTTGCGGATTTAAAGCAAAGATTTGAAAGAAGATAATAAACATCATTTTGTTGTGTTAAAACCCCACAATATGTTCCAGAACGAATCTAACACGAAACGCTCATCTACACAGAATTTCCGTCAGCCAGATTTTCCTACAAATGTAGTCCAAAAGTGCTCAGCTTTTCGGATAAAAATGACCCACAGTTCTTCGGCTAGTCAATTTCTTATGATAGTTAAACTGCTTAACAGGGAGTAGGCGATAAATTTTTCAAAACATGCAATGCCCATCTGTTGATCGGGTCTCCGACCTTGAGCAAATGATTGCATACGTTTCGCCACCATGCAAGGTGGAATCGTCAGTCGAGCGGTGTGCAGTGTACAATCCGGCTTATTGAATCGTCCGTCTGTGATCGATGGCAGATTGACTTTTGCAAGTAACAACTTCAATTTGCACCTCATGATCTCTGCTCATTCTCTTCCGCGGCTAAACCATCTTTCTATTCGCTGTAGATCTTTCTTTCTGAACCATCGTACATGGGAACGATATCGATGCGCATGTTGATCGAATTATTAGAGGAGTACCATGCTACTAGGAATTCGCTCTCTTTTTGTGTTGCTGCTTGTGTTATGATAGCCGTTTTGTTTCAGTCGAAGCTGCATCCCGCTTCATCCACATGCGCTGAGACAAGAGACGATGCATAGTGTTTTGACAAGCACTCTGATGTTCATGTATCCTTGTGGATAGTTTCCTTCCTGTCTGTCCCACATAGTTAATTTCACAAGTATTGCAATATATTTTATACACGACGTTTGTTCGTTCTTGTGCTTTCCGGTTGTCCTTTGGGTTTGACAGTATTCTTCTCAAAGTAGCAGTTGGTTTATGAGGAACCGCGACACGATGTTGATTGAGCAATCTAGAAGTCATTTCAGATATGCATCATATACAGCAAAACGACCCTCTTGGTTGAATTTCGCATCGGCTTGGTGTTTGTAGTATAGACATCTGCGGATGAAGCTGCATGGGCATCCATTACGCTCAAACGAATCGAATAGGTGTTTCCCTTCTTCCTGTTTGACTTCCGCTGTACTGCACTGTTTCAGTCCTCCGAAATAGCGTCCGCAAGCAGCTTATCTTGTGGCACTTTGGTTGGTTGCTGTTGAAGTTCAAAATTTGGTCCGTATGTGTGCCTCTGCTGTGAACGGATTTTTGAAATCCACTGTTTTTTGTTCGCATCACTAACACATCAAGGATGGCAGTTTGTTTGCTGCCTCTAACTCCATGGTAAACCGGGTCCCTACCATTGCAATGTTGAGTAGCTGGTGTGAAAGTGTAACTTCACTGCGTTTGAGTATTACAAAGGACTGCTAGATTGCTCAACCAAAATTGCATCGCAGTTGCTCATAAACCAACTGCTACTTTGAGAAGAATACTGTCAAATCCAAAGGACAACCGGAAAGCACAAGAACGAACAAACGTCGTGTATAAAAGATATCGCAATTTGTGTACTTGCGACTTCAATTTGAAGATAAGCATCTGATAAAGCTAGCTTTGCAAAGCAAGTGCCACCACTGAGCTTAGTAAATAAATCTTCTGGGACTAATAAAAGGTTACTGGTGCATTTTCAAAGAAGCATTCAACCCCGTAGAGTAATCAGCACAGATACGAACGGTTCCATTGGTCTTCTTGACAACAACAATAGGTGCTGCCCAAGCTGAATAGTTCACAGGTTGGACGACGCCGGCCTGCTCCAAACGATCAAATTCCGAATCAACAATCGGAAGCGCAGCCTACGGTACCGGCCTTTTGGGTCGGAATACGGGTTTGGCACCGACTTTGAGAGTAAGGCTTGCTTTGGTCTTTGTGCATCTTCCCAAGTCGTTGCAAAACACAAACGGGAATTTCCTTCGTAGCTGCTCGTTCAGGAGGTTGTTTGGTTCGTCACCTTCCGAAGAGGGCCTCGTATATCCGAGCCAGAGGGTATTGCAGACTTGACGCAGGGAAATGTCGAACAAGTGGAGCTTCTGGATCCAGTCGAGTCCAAGCAGATTCAAATGTGACAGCCCCGTAGTGTACACGACACCGTTTGCCCGAGCAGCGCCAAAAACCATTTCACACTGCAGCTTACCAATGAGATTAAGTTGACCTCCTGAAGCGTTAAGTGCAACATGTGTCGTTCGGCTGATTGACAGAGCACCAATATACTGCCAAGTTTTGCTGGAGATAATTGCGATGTCCGAGGCTGTATCTAGCTGAAGGCACACTTGTTGCCCGTTCAGATGAACTCTGATATACTTTCTGCGAGCCACATGTTCATCAGAGTAGGCCGCTTGAACCGTACTATAGATGCTGAATCTTTTGAGAACATTTGAATTCGGTCGCGTATGTCTAACAAGCTTGAAGTGCAGTCTGGATTGTCAGTGCGTTTCCTTATGGCCCCGTTTATGACACTTGTGGCAAACGTGTTTCAGGAATGGACACACTCGAACAAAATGCCACTCACCACATCTCCAACAGGCAGTCGGGGGCTTGGGATTCTCTCTGGGCTTTTCATGGCCTGTTTCACTTGGAAGTGGTTTCTTTGAAGTGATTTTTAGTACACTAATACTTGGGGTTGATTGTTGCTTCTCCAGCATAAGCGTGTCAAGTTTGAGGTTCAGCAATCGTTGGCATTCAGTAGTTATGGTCTGTAGAGTCATTTTCGGGTCTTATGCAAGTTTACTCAGCAGCCTGGTGCGAATCTCTGCATCCCGTGGGGAATGTAGGCCACAGATAAAAATCAGACATTTGAACTGATCTGCCATGATGGATTTGATGTCGAAATTTTCGCACTCGCGGTTGACGATGCCAGAGTAAGTGTTGTAGTCATCAGCGTCCATCTTGGTGATCTTCAGGCATTGATATCGCGTGTTGAAGATGGATGACTGCTTTGCAAATATTTGGCCCAAGCATTTGACAGTCTCCTCAAAAGTGCAGTCTCGAGAGTTCTTAAGCAAAATAAAGTTGACATACCTGGAGTGCTCTGCTGTTCCAAGTTTTCTTAACAACAATCGGACTTTCCAATCGTCATCATGGTCTCCAATTTCACCGCGGAACATATCTTCATAACGCTTGAACCAAGCCTCAAAGGTGAGGCTAGCATCAGGGTAGTATGAAAATTCGGTAATGCTGTTAGTGATGGCGTCTACCGATGCGGACGGCTGTAGACAGTAAACCGGTCTGGATTGAGAGTTGGAGCGTAAGTGTTTCGACCAGCCTGAGTTGGAATGCCTCAAATTGTGCTTGTTGCTGCAGCAGAATGGCGTTGAGCTCGTCAGCCGATATGCACATCTTGATTAGGGTTCAACTCGTCGCCAGCTGAAGTGTTCGTCCACAAGCCTGAATGGACGCTTGATTTTCAATCAAAACCCGGAGTCGCTGACCCCCCACAGGACAGACAGAAGACTAAATCGGACGAGCAGAGCAACAGGGATCTATTAGCGAATCACACCGTTCATTATGAAGGTGAAATGGAAAGTTCGTGAATGGTATTTAAAGCGCACGTGGAAAGTTCTGGAAAGGCCAACTTACAGCAAATCAAGGAAGGCCCCCCTCGCGTTAATTGGCCGCTGCTCACGGTTGGCTCTCTGTTCGCTCCAATCATGGCGGGTGAGTTTGGATCGCCTGCCGCGGCGATCATCGCGGCGGCATCGCGTATTCCTTCCTAAAACCATCCATTGATGGGGAGACGGATGTCATGGTGACGCCATAAACGCCTGTCTAGCGTGGAGGAGCGAGCGAGCTCTTGAGATATGCAACGAAATCTCGTTTCCAACAGCCCCATCAGCAATTATGAAGCTTCCCAGGTAGAAAAAACTCAGTACGATTTCTAACGTTTCCCCATCGAGGGTGAGTGCAGGTAGGGGAGTATACCAGTCTTGAAAGCTGCTATGTACTTGGATGGTGAAAAGTGCATGCCATACTTCGACGCTTAAATCACCA